AGAGAGAGAGAGAGAGAGAGAGAGAGAGAGAGAGAGAAAGCATGAGGTGAGGCATTTGACGAGTGTTAATGACGGACGCCTCCTAGAGCGAGAGGGAGGGAGAATAGTAAGAGAACGGGAAGAGTGAGGGAAAAGGAGATAGCGAGAGGGACAGGAGAGAGAGAGATTCCAGTGGGATAGTAATCTTCGGGCCACTACTCTTCATGCCGCCAGTACGCGTCATCACTCCAAACGGGGGTGGGGGGAGAGAGAGAGAGAGAGAGAGAGAGAGAGAGAGAGAGAGAGAGAGAGAGAGAGAGAGAGAGAGAGGGAAGTCGTGCCTGGGGGGAGATGGACGAGGGGATTAAAAATGCTCTTTTCATCGAAATGCATGAAGGGGTTTAAGCAGCACTTGGACGTTGTTGCACAAGTGGATGGTGGGTATCTCGACGGATTGCCGGTTATAGACAATGCTCTGAGGGAGTGGACGAGGGGTAATATCTCCAAGGAGAGGAAGGTGGTGAAGCGACGGAGGGGCACACATAGGGAGCAGAGGAGGGGTGAAAGGAGGAGGATGGAGCAGCGCATGTTTTGAGTGACTTCACAGTATGCTTAGTATATGATTCTTTTTTTTTTTTTTTTTTTTTTTGGGTCTTTTTGTTAATATCCCTCAACTGTCCAATGCTGCTTTTTTTTTTTAATATCTAATTACATCTATCATTCAAGAAGACCAATTATAGGGGGTGATATGAACATCCCTCAATAGGCCTCCCCCCACTCTCAACACTCTTCCTTTCTCCCTCGCCCCCAGCTCTCTCTCTCTGTCTCTCTCTGTGCATCTCTCTCTCTGCAGCCTTTTTTTTTCGGCCGTCTCTCTGCTTCACCCTTCTGTCGCTCTCATTCCACCTCTTCTTTATCCTGCATCCTCACGTATGCATACTTCTTTCTTATTAAGGAAAGTTCATCGCTCATACTGTTAGGAAGCCCTAAGATGCAGTTTTTTTAAATTTATTTTTAAATAAATTAATTCGAATAAAAAAGAACATGGTCCGATGGACCATAGATCATTGATGAAACTGATCAGAACAGATACTGCAAGTGATATTAGCCAAAAACTCGAAAAAGGTGTAGGCATTGCTTTTTTTTGGAATTGGTATGTCGTTCTTTTTTCCCCGAATTTTTTTCTTCAGTAATTGCTCACACACCTAGGCTACCAGCCGGGCCGCCCGGGTCCCTGGTGGCCAGCCCGTGCAAAAAATCCGGGGAAAAAACTATGTTAAGCAGAAAAATAAACTGAACAACTTTTGTCTCAGGGTCACATCGAAATTCTTTACCAAATTTAAAATAAAAAATAAAATAAAAACATATTTTTATTTATTTATTTGTTTACTAGGCTACCAGGGCTCAGGTCCCGCTAGCAAAGAGGGTCGGATCGAATGCCTGAATCTGGATGTGTTTTATGCAGAGATGCAGAGAAGCAGTTCAATCTCGATTCCCTGCACATCTCCATAAACTCGTCCAGATTCAGGCACTCGATCCGATCCTCTTTGCTTGTGGGACCACGCCCCAGGGGTCCACTTGCCCGACCGGACCAAAAAGGAATAAAAAATAAAAAATAAAAAATATTTTCTAATTTAAAATTTTATTTTAAATTTGGTACAGAATTTCGATGTGACCCTGAGGCAAAAGTTGTTCAATTTGTTTTTCTGCATAACATAGTTTTTTTTCGGTTTTTTTTTTTTTTTTGGCCGGGACGTTCCCTGGTCCTTGCACGGCCGGGCCGCCCGGGAAAATAGGGTGACCCAGGCGGCCCGGCTGGTAGCCTAGTTTATTTATTTATTTTGGCCCGGCCTGGCAAGTGACCCCGGGCCACTCTGGTAGTCTAGTCACACACACGAAAAAAAAAAACAGCGCAGACCGTCTTGCTGTCTGCCAAGAGAGAGCTATACTCCCAGAAGGATGACTACCGTATGCACCCGAATAGGACGCCCGGTCAGTATACCCGTATTTGGGGCAACTTTTAGTCAGGATACAGCAATAATTACCGGGCGTTCTATTTGGGTGAAGGCGGTAGTTAAACAAATCATGTTGTTTTCAAACGATTGGCAAAGAAATCAAAACGTCCATTTTTTTTTTTTTTTAATGTGGTCCGATGGACCACGGATCAGATATTAAACTGATCAGAACAGTTACTACTACACTTTATCTATTTTTAGCCAAAAGGCCGAGAAAGGTATAAAACGTCCACAGTTTCAAGAAGAGCGAAAGAAGAAAATAGACGAGGTGGTCAGCAGTAGAAATCAGGCACAAGGTCCTTCGGGACATCCGTTAAAATTGGAACGATACAGAGAATGAAGATTAGCATGGCCCCTGCGCAAGGATGACACGCATAAATCGAGAAATGGTCCAAATAAAAAAAAAAAGAGAAAAAGAAATCAGGCACAAGACCGAACACCTTTCATCATGTTTTTTCATAGAAGAGCAGCCCACGTAGTACAACCCAGCCCATATGCCAGCACCCAGGCCATACAATACTACCCTGGCCACTCTGAGCTGTGCTCTTTCGTTTGTGCTGTGTTTGAGAGTCATGTCTGTGTATGTATGGTGATGTTCGCTATATACAACTCCACACAAAGAAAAGCGTGACCTTGCCGGACTCTGTCTGCGTCGAACTTTTTTTTTTTTTTTTTTTTTTTTTTTCTGCGTCGAACTTTGGCTGAGCACTGACGACGTTGAACCCCTCTTATAAAACATGGGTTTTTTTTTTTTTTTTTTTTTTTTCTGCGTCGAACTTTCGCTGAGCACTGACGACGTTGAACCCCTCTTATAAAACAATCTACACGTAGGCAGGATGGATGTGTGTGTGTGTGTGTGTGTGTGTGTGTGTGTGTGCGCTGTCTCTTATACACATCTAGATGTGTATAAGTGGACAGTACGTCACCGAGCCCCCAAAAAAGAGAGAGAGAGAGAGAGAGAGAGAGAGAGAGAGAGAGAGAGAGAGAGAGAGAGAGAGAGAGAGAGAGAGAGAGAGAGAGAGAGAGAGA